AGAACTATACCAGGCATTCTATTAGCTGGAAGAATACTGGTCTTCAGCCTAAAAAGCAAAGGCAGCCACTTAAAGCTGGTAAGAAGGAAGATAAGATGCACAACTGACCATGCTTTAATAGCAACAGGGGATGATTGACCCTGAGGCACTCCACAGTTGAGGGTCCAAGAGGTTGACACCATCTCCCCCAGTTGCAGACTCTGAGGACAGTCCTTGAGGAAGGACTGGAGCCAGGACAAAGCCAGGCCACTGATTCCCAATCCCGAGAGCCTCCCCAGGAAGGATACCATGGTTGAAGATATCAAAGGCTGCGGAGAGGTCGATGTGAACCAGCAGGGACACTTTGCCCCTGTTGGTCTCCCTCAAAAGGTTGTCCTGCAGGAAGACCAGTGCTATCTCTGTGCCATGACATGGCCTGAACCTGGACTGGAATGGGTCAAGGGCATCAGTCTCCTCCAAAAGCACCTGTACTGATCGGCCACTGCCCTCTCCACTAGCTTGCTTTAAAAAAAAGGAACATTGGTGACAAATCTATAGTTGTTCATATAATCTGCCACCAAGTTAGGTTTTTTGCCAAATGTAAACTTACTTGAAACAGTGGAATCCAGCATGGCTCTGTTGTTGTGAATGCTGCAGCTGAAATAGTAACTTGTCCAGGTAATTAATGGAGAAGCAATGAGGTCTTCGGGCTATGTAAGCAGCATTTACTGTTAAGGAGACTGCTTGGACAATGTGGTGACTGCTGGAGCCTCCCGTCCCAGACCTAGGGTTCTTTTCAACCAATGAGTTCGCCTATTTACCTAGACAACTAATAGCAAACTGGCCGGCCCTGCCACAGCTCAAGCAAAGTCCTGACTGTCTTTCTTACTGTTTCTCAGCAGCATGGCCCAAGCTGTCCTACTGCTTGAAGTGGGAAGCAGCATGCTACCCTCCCAACAATTGTGTGCCCTGAAAGGAGAAGGAGACATTTGTCTGCCCCTGAGACAGAAGCAGAAAGTCAGCTGTTCCCCATGCAGAGTGAAAGAGAAGGTAGCAGCATATTGGACATGGATGGAGAAGGGGAATGAAATGCAGCATATTGGGAGCAAAGAAGAGCAATAGTCTGTGCAAGTGATGACAAACTGTTTTTCCCTCCCCACCCCTTTGGGCAAAGTTGAAGAGAGGATTTCGAGAAAGCAGCTTCCTCTGTTTGGGAAAAAACCCAAAACAGATAACAAGTGGTCACAGGAATAATAATGGAAGATTGGCAGCAGTAGAGGCCAACGACATTGAAACACACCACCAGCTCCTTCTACTGGAGGAGAAGGAAGTGGTGAATATCTCCTTCTGGTCATTTTTTCTCCATCAGTCTCCAAAGGGGTGTCCTCGGAGCCAAGGGACTAAGGTAGGTAATGGAGTGGAAGATCATCTGTCTGAAGAAATAGCTTTCCATGTGGCTCTTTGTGATCCAGCTGTGTGAGTGGATATTACGCTCCAGTTTGATGTCCTTGGCCTCTGCCACTGTTTGCAGTTGGTCATGACTGCTGCAGCTTAAATGATCATCTTTCCACCCACAAAATAAGCTGCTTTCTCCAGCTGTCCGCTAATCTTTATCCTAAGGTAGGGGCTGGGTAGATTGTCATTGTTTCTCATTATTGCTGTCATGGTTTGCCTTCTACCCCCACATAAGCTGCCTTCCACACCTTTTCTTCATCTTCATTGCAAGATAGGAGCACTGCTCCATTCCCTTCAAGCCATACCTACATGATCTTTTTGGTGAGTGGGTGGAGATGGTGTGGCACGTTTGCCATCCTCAGTATTTCACTGACTGAGAGGACTGCCTCACCACTCTCTCAGCCTAATGACAGGGCCAGCCCCATTTCTCACCTGCAGTCAACTGCTGTCAGCCTCTGCCCAATGATATTAGTTCTTCCAGAGGAGTTATAGGGACTAATGGGGCAGTCAGTGCCTGAGACTGAGTTAGCAACATATGTTCCAAAGGAAGCTGAAGTTGATTGTAACTGAAAGTTTTTTAACTGTACATCTGCCTGGAGGCATGGCTGAATCCGGGCTTAGAGGATTGTTGGCTGTTCAGTGTGTGCTAATTCATCCAAGAGATCATTGACTAGACCCTCCTGGAACTCATCAGTAACCGTGGCATCATTCCTATGGAAATTTTGGCTGTACAGTTGAAACTAGTTAATACAGGCAGCAACTAACCCTATCCCTTATCTTAGCTCCTGAATATAGGTGACTTCTGGGGGGTCTTCTCAAACAAAGTGTACTTGTTTTACAGCCCCCTCTGTAGTTATGTCAGAGTGGACTTGTGTATAACAGTAAAGAGTTGGCTCACTTTGCAACAGGGCTGATAAATGATTCCCACCTGGGGAGGTTCTTTGGTTATAGCTGCATACATAGCAAACACTAGGCCAGAAAGGAAAACTTGTCTGATGAGCCATCAGACATTTCAGGGGGAAATGGAAGCAAGTACTGGGCCCCAAACTGGGAAAGTTGGTTCTACAGACCATTTATCATGGGAGACAGATTGACCATTTGATCACCAAGGGACTGGCTTACTTGTGTCAGCAGTGCTATGCAGAATGGATAGAGCCAACCTGTCTTGTTGCAGAATGGATGAAGTCCTAACAGCAAGGGGCTTGAATCACAAATATAGGAGCCAAGCAAGAAAAACTGGGAGAACAAAGCCAACGTCAAAATCGAGGTTGCAAGTCTCACCAGAGAGTAACATAAGCAAAGTGGAAAGGAATCAAAGACAAAATCTAATAATGATTCAGGATCTAACCAATTCAAGTTGTAAACTATGTGAACACTATATTTGAGCTGGGGGGAACCCTAGCCAGAGCTCAGCCATAGGCAGTGGAACAGCTGGTCTCACTGCGAAGAGGAGCTCAGCTGCTGTTAGTCAGATAGCTAGCCTCCTTGGGAGGAGAAGCTTTCCTTGAAGAACACCACCTAATCTTGAGGAAGCTTCTATTCATGAAGATGAGCTCTTTGCCTGAAGGCCTCAATCTGAGGCTGGAGAAGAATTGCCTCTATCTGGGATTAAGCTTTTTTGTAACAATGAGGGCCCAGAGCCTGCAGAGACAGCACTTCACCATCTTCTGTTTCAAGGGGTACCAACTCATTTTTGATGGAAAAGTTCTCTGGGAAGCACACTACCATGTATGCAATTCATTAAATCTTGCATTATCTGCATAAGGAACATGGTAGTAGTAGTAGCACCAGTAACAGCAGCAGCAGCAGTAGTAGTAATGATCCACCAAATCAGTTCAGACTTAAGGCAACCCTTTTCCCAGGTTTTCTATTTATAGAATACTCTGAAGTGGTTTATCATTCCCTCCTGTGATACTCCCAGACTGTGCAACTTGCCCAATGCTACACAGGCTAGTTTTTTTTCCTACAAGGCACAGTGGGGAATCAAACTCCCAACCTCTACCTAACTCATTGAGGTATCCAGTCAGCTAAAGAATATGTTATCACTATATACATACTGGCAGGACAAGAATACAGTGGTGCCTCGCAAGACGAACGCCTCGCGGGATGAAAAACCTGCAAGACAAATGGTTTTTGGGATCTCTGTGGTGCCTCGCAGGACGGCTTCTTCTATAGCCGTGCTTTGCAAGACAATATTTTTTCCCAAGACCGATGCCTCGCAAGACGAAAATAATTCATTCGTCTTGCGAGGTTCCCATAGGAATGCATTGCAATGCATTCCTATGGGAAACCGCTTTTCGCAAGATGAAAATTTCGCAAGATGAAAATTTCGCAAGACAGCGCTACTCGTGGAAGGAATTATTTTCATCTTACGAGGCACCACTGCACGTCAATATGGCAGATGCTAGGAGGAAGTTCTGTCTCTGCAGGTATTGTCCTTTGGATTCCTGTGGAATGGCGGATCTGGTGGCAATTTTAAAAAAGTAGTGGAATGTGAACAATGGCCTAATCTCTTAAAATAGTCTCTCTCATGTTTTCTCAATGTGTTGGACAACTCTTGGGGAAGTTGGAAGTTGGAGTCAAGTAAAACTGAAGGTCACAAGGTGGAGGGGCTGTATGAAACTGCAATAAATTCATTTCAAAAGGACTAGAAGAGAAGAATGCTTAATCACTATTGAACCTTTTTCAAACAACTAACTTGTTAGACTAATCTTATAGAAACAGAAAAAAGTCCTGCAACACAAGACTAACACAGTTATTGTGACATGGCCTTGTATATGCTCTAGCTCACTTCAATTGCTAGTCTCTAGGGAGCCATAGGATTCATTTTTGTTGTACTACCAAGTGTGTAGTTTTGAAGGATAATGTCTATAATGTAATCAGTCCATGCATGGGTTTCCTCTTTCTTATAATTGCCATTTAATTTTTTTTCCTCCTCTTATTAAGCTTCTAAGAACTAGATTGATTGACTGGTTTCATTTACATACCAGTTCAAGGATCCAAACTAAAGAGCTTTTTCCAGTCAGCAAAAAAGAAGCAGCAAATCAAATTAATGATGTTTAGGCTGGAACTGAAACCATAGGGGCTGTAATTCCACTGCACATTGTGTGTGCAATGTCTTGGGTTCATTCCTAGGTATCTGCAGTTGAGAGAAGCTAAGGTAGGTCTGACAGAAATTGTAGATAATGCCTCCTCCTAAGAGTACACAAGACTCTTCTACATGGACTAATAATCTTCCAGCTTCATATTGCCAGTGCTGTGATGAAAAGGAGAAGCAAATTATCTCCTGATTTGATTAAAGGTGTTCCATGTTGTCTCTGGTGCCACTTATTTTATTCTGTCAAATGTTTTAATTTGCTATTGTTTATTTGTAGGTTTATTACTATACATTTTATTTATTGTTATAAACTGCTCAGAATAGTTTATCACAGTAATGGAGTGGTCAATCAATCAATCAATCAATCAATCAATCAATCAATCAATCAATCAATCAATCAATCAATCAATGTTCATTTAGGACTTAACAGATATGTTACTGAATTCTTTTAATTGTTCTGTCTTTTCAGGGAGTGCAAGAGATGAAGATGAGGCCCAGAGCAGAGTGCTGTCCTTCAAAATTCTGGTTTATGCTGGCAGTCTTAGCAACAACAGGTGGTGGAGTCTGGGCCCAAAAGAACCATCCCAGCATTGGCATTGCTGTTATCTTGGTGGGTACCTCTGACGAAGTAGCTATCACAGATGCCCACAAGAAGGATGACTTCCACCACCTCTCTCTTACGCCTCGTGTGGAACTGGTGGCCATGAATGAGACAGATCCCAAAAGTATCATCACTCGCATCTGTGATATCATGTCTGACCGGAGAGTTCAAGGTGTGGTGTTTGCTGATGACACTGACCAGGAAGCCATTGCCCAGATCCTGGACTTTATTTCTGCCCAGACCCTCACACCCATTTTAGGTATCCATGGAGGCTCTTCCATGATCATGGCAGACAAGGTAAATTATAACTTATTTCCACAAAGTCCCTGAGAATGGATCATGAAATAAAATTTCCTCACCACATGGCATTATCTGTTTACTAAAGTGCCTGTAGAATTGGATGAATCAGTCAATGAAAACAATACAATCAAACCCTAATTCTATAGGTACTTAAGAGATAATTTTGCAAGAAATAGCATATTTTGCTTGGGGAGAGGGGGAAGATTTAGCCTACTCTATTTCTGATATTTACAATCCTGTTTTGAAAGATTGCTACCATATACCAGGCATGCAGAATGGTACCTGTGTGCTTGACTTAGTGGGAGTGTCTAGAAAGTCTGTAGGCGGTAGTCCATTGTGACATTTCACTCTACAAATTTTGCACAGCAGTTTCGCATGATAGGGGTATGACATATGTGGTAATGGAATCCTTTACCACTGTAGACACCATAGGACTGATACTGCATTGGTGCAAAGATTATTATGTCACATCAGCCAGAAAAGAATCTTCTGTTTCAGTATAGAGTAATCGGGTAGGACAACAATGAATGACTGGTAACATTCTGTCTAACAAGTTTGGGAAAAACATTCCAATAAATACCATTAGAGGTAGAATTTGAAACTTACACCTCTGATTTGAGTGTGCAGACTCCATTTTGAAACTTACTTTAGACAAACAAACTTGTCTAAAGTTTGACATGCACATCTGGCTATGGTTTTTAGAACCTTTATGTTTTCTCTGCAACATTCATAGCCCTGTGGTGCCCAGCCTGATGAAGACTTCTACTGGGTCAAAAGCTAGGTAATGTTTGTGATTTTTTAAAAGATGTCTAATAGAGTTATCACTAGAGATGGGCATGAATCAGAAAAATGGCGATTTGTTTTGATTTGTGATTCATCAAGGTCAATGAATCATGAATTACGAATTTACAAATTCTTTCTGATGAATTGATGAATCAATTTGTTGATTCATTTTTTTTGTTAAAACCTATAAAATGGCCTCCCAAGCACCTAGAGACACCAAATTCACAGCAATGCTTCCCTTGGCTCTTCTCTACAAGTCCTCCCAGTCTGGTGAAGATTGAGTTTCAGACATCTATGTTATAGACCCACAAAGTGTGTCACCCCAGGAATGTCCCCTATAGCAGCTGGCTTGGGGAAATCCAATCTTCACCAAATTTGGAAGGATTCTAGAGGGGAGTTAGAGGAAGCTTCCCTGAACATTTGGTGTCTCTAGGAAAGAGACTCTAGGGGGCCATTTGATCACTAAATGAATTAATGAATAAAAAATCTCTAATAATTCATTATTCATGATTTGTCAGGGGCATTGGTTTGTTTGATTAGGAATTGACAAATTAGCAAATTTTGAATGTATTTGGTGATTCATTTTTTAATTCATGCCCATCTCTAGTTATTAACCACTCTTGCCTTCAAAATGTATCATGTCGTCAACTCTTACTTGCCAGTGCAGTGATTTAAAAAAAAATTAGATCATTAAATAACTAAATTAATGCAGCTGACATAGAGACACACAGAAAAGGTTACACTGATCCTGAAATGTTGAAAACAGAGCTCAGTCAAATACAGTGGTGCCTCAATTTATGAATGTCCTGACATACGACCATTTTGAGCTACGACTGGCTCCGGCTGCAAAATTTTTCTTTCACTTGCAGCCGTAGCTTCCAGTTACAAACAAAAAAAGGCAGGGGAAAAAGGCGGGAAATTCTAATTGCTAACTGTAGGTGGCGACGAGGCTGCTTCTTTGTAGCTCTTTTGCCCCAGCAGTTAGAGAGTATGCGATTGGAAGAGGCTGCCTTGTAAGGTAAGGTGCTGCTTTATGCTTTTAAAAAACTGTTCTGGGTGGGTTTTGCAGCGTGGTTTTAGGCTGGGGGGGTTATATTTCTGTGCTCCGATGGGTCTTGGGGGGTTTGATTGCTTTTTGGAGTGTTCTTTCCCATTTCTGATGGGTCTTGGGGAGGTTGGTTGCTTTTTGGTCCCCCCCCCATTTCCTATGGGTCTTGGGGGGTTTGGTTGCTTTTTGGGTCCCCCCATTTCCAATGGGTCTTGCATGCTTCCCTTGCTTTTTGCTTTGTTTTCTGTGCATTTCTGACGCGCTCCGTTTGTTTTCTGTGCATTTCTGATCTGCTTCTTTGGTTTTCTGTGCATTTCTGATGTGCTCCCTTTATTTTCTGTGTATTTCTGACGTGCTCCCTTTGTTTTCTGTGCATTTCTGACGTGCTCCCTTTATTTTCTGTGTATTTCCGACGTGCTCCCTTTGTTTTCTGTGCATTTCCGACATGCTCCCTTTGTTTTCTGTGCATTTCCAATGGGTCTTGCATGCTTGATTGCTTTTCTTCCCCACCCTTTTCAGATGGAATGGATTAATCTCATTTCCAATGAGTCTTGCAGTGATTTTTTTTGGTGATTTTTTTCCCTTCGGCCAGAATGGATTAATTGCATTTCAATGCATTTCAATGGGAAATGGTGCTTCGACATATGACCATTTCAAGTTACAACCATCTTCTGGAACCAATTAAGTTCGTAAGTCGAGGCACCACTGTACAGGATAAGGTCACAGCATTCACATAAGGCCTGTAACTTACATTTTTTCTTTGTGATCTCTGTGAATGCACACTAATGGGTTTAATCTGCGGTTGCGCAGAGGTTTCTGGAATATTCTAGAGCTTCATGATACGTTTGTCAAGGACTGCCCCCAGCTCACGTGGTCCACCCACCCCGGCAATTGCCTCAGTTCTTTTTTGCCGCCACTGAGGTCTCTCCTCTCGTTGAGCTACCATTCGTCTCTATCGATATCTGAAAGAAATAACAAATATTTTATTGATTCTAAACCTTCTATAATCAAGGAAACTGTAAGAGACTTTTACAATTTCCCTGACAGCTTCCCCTTCCCCCACCATTTATGGCCCCCCTTCCCCATTTCAAGAAGTGTACCTCATGCTCCAACAAGGTTCTCCTTTCAGACAGCCACAATCTCTGCCTTTTTTTGTCTGGGAGACTCTCACCAACCTTCCACTTGTCAGTTTTGCAAGAACTTTACTAAACAAGCCCTTAAATTAAGGTAACAGTGTCTTCGGTCATTTCTCTTGGAACGCTCCCTACAACCTACTCAGATTATGGAATCATCTCAAATACCTCAGCCCCTGAGAGAATCTCTGGGTCCACCTACCGTTTCTCCGACAGCTAAATTGATCTCTAAAATTACACAAAACCCGAAGTCCAAACCTCCCAGTTCGACCAAGCCCACCTTGGTGCCAAAGTCTCCTTTGGTATCAGAACATTCTAAATCAAATAAACAAAAGAAGTCTACTACTGACTCATCCCCCTAGACATAGACTGATACCAGACCGACCACCATTACAAGATGAACCTACTATATGCGTTGATTCATCAGAGTAGACCCTTCTCCTTCCTTCTGGTCAACCTCCATCTCTGCTTGTGGCACACTCTCCATTTTCTCTGCTTGATTCCACTGAGGTCACCACCCTGTCTACATCAGCACACTTGAGCCTAGTATCCACGGTTTGCTCCATCTCAATGGGTGATTCTGAGTCAGTGTATCAAGCACCCAGCGTTTCACCTCCCTGCAAGAAGTTGAGGAAGGCCCACCACACGTTCCAGATGTGTCATTTTGGTGCCAATCCCGTACGACCCATGACTCCAACTGGGTCTCTAGCATCTTGAGTGCCTTCTAATAGATACCAACACTCCAAACTGGTCATGCTGTATGAGCCTCCACAGTACTATGACCCTATACTCAAACGCTCTCAACATTGAGCATATCAGTATTATCAACCTGAGCTCGACTTCTATTCTGACCGTCGACACCCTTGACGTTGATATTATTACGAATCCAACCTCTTGGACTCTTCTCACTCTCCTCGATATCGATCACGGTTTCTACAATTCTTCATCGGACAATGATTCGATACAGCCTGTCCCGGTACCGAAACACCACAAATTTCACAAGAGACAACATCCCGAGCCTCTTCAAGATCAACCTACGGTACCGAAATGATCTTGGACCACCGTTCCAACAGCGTCATGCATCCAAAAATCCATCCCTCAACCGTTGGTACAGGCGACCACCACTTATGCTAGTCCTCAGCCTCCACCCCCAGGACCAAATATTCTCATAAGAAGCACTCTGAACTTCAACCTGCCTCTGTACCATTCCAACAGGTTCCATCAAGATCTCAGATGATGTTTGTATGGGAATAGAAGACTTGTCTTTCAATGGCTCTGGACTTTTCGACCAGAAGACTGATGACATGTTAGAAAATTTGCAAAAATTAAAAAAGACAGCACGTTCATACAACACCCAACTATACTAAAAACCACAACGATTTCAGTGGCGCTGCCCTTACTCTTACCAGCAATCTAGATCATTCTTTGACAGAAATGTATCCCTCACAATCTACTAATTCCTTCCAACCTAGACATGCAGTACACCACCAGTAACCCCGGACAGTCTTTCCGTCGCCCTGATAAAAAGCAAAACCAGAGTCTTTGACATCTTCGTCCCCCAGATCTGCACAACTTACTTCTCTCCTTCTGCAGCAACTCATCTTTCAGCCCATCTTCCATCCTGGGCTTCTATCACCACCGATTCTTGGGTGCTCACCATCATCGCTACAGGTTATGTCATAGAACTTATTTATCCACCTCCACCAAGGATTGTTCTAACCTCAAACAAGAAATTCAATCTCTTCTCCTAAAGGATGCCATATCACCTGCCACTCATCGAGAAGACGATCCAGGGTTCTTCTCCTATTATTTTACTGTCCCAAAACGGGATGGGGCTCTACAACCTATCCTCGACCTTCGAGATCTCACCTACTACATCATTCAAAGAGGCTTCCGTATGGTCACATTAGAATAAATCTTACCCATTCTCCAACAAAACGGCTGGTTCACAGTTATAGATTTAATTGATGCATACTTCCCTATTACAATTTGCCAAGATATTGCAATTTTCTCAGATTCACCATAGGAACCCA